ATCATTAATTACCAAAGTTATTTTGGATATGTTTTTTTTAATCCCTTTATCTCCTTAACGTAGAGCATAGGACGTCTACAAGCCTCTTCCATTTTATTTTATTAGGGACAATAGCTTTTTATTTCTGTCCAGCTCATATGTGAGGTAAATTAGGTTCGAATTCGAGACTGCCGATTATGAATCAACATTTTATATTGAGTTATATTATTATTTTGTCATATTACTTCTTTCATTATAAATTGAATACTTCCCTATTGCAGATATATTAATTCTAAGATATATTTTATTTAGATATATTAATCTCAATCGATATTCGCTCCAAAATTTCCTTAACTGGTATTCGTAGGTATAATAATAAAGTTAATATAATTAAACAATTATTTCATTTTAAAAATCAAAATTCAAGAAATAAAATTATGTAATTTAAAATTATGAAAAGTTGTATAAAACATTTGTCGCTCTCTAGAGATTTGTTGAAAACGCGTAATTAAAAAAGTGTCTGGTTTTGCAAATACTGATTAAGTTTAAACTAAAAATATAACATACTTTTAATAAAAATGTATAGCAATATAATTTGAAATATAATATCAAAGTTAATTCATATGTAAATCTCTCCGCAATTTACAAGATGAATTATTATTTACCGACATACCGACGCTGAGAGAGGATAACGCAGCGCTCTGTTATACAAAATAAAAGCTACCAACGAACTGTAAGAAAGCGTCGCAAGAATGCCGAATGAAATCTCACACACGTAAAAGAAAGTCAATACAAATTTAATATAAAATATTATTTATATTCAAATATTTTTATTTCTTATTTTTAGTACTACGTAACATATAAAATATAATTATCTTGCAACCAGATTTGATTACACCATGGTAATTGACAATTATTATTTTTAATATATCCAACTACTTATATTCAATAATTTCAGTAACTTATAATAACAATTACGTAAATAAAAAATTGCAAACTTCTGCAAATAATCGATTTTTATAAAAAAATTAGTGATAAAATTGACATGGCTCACAAAAATAGTGTTGTTCTAAGTTCACTCGGCCATACTCCACATGCATTTTGCCTGACTGGAACCAATATTGATCGACTGCAACTTGTTGCATCTGCAAATATTTAACAATTACAAATTTAAGGATTTCTTTAGCATTTTTAATAATTCCGCATATTAAAAAGATTTAAATAAATAAAAATATTTACAAAATTTTAAATAATTTATTGCAGTAACCATATACTTTATTTTAGCATTATATACTTATATATTATTACATACTTTAATAACTGAAATAAAAAATATTAAAAGATTCTGAATACAAATTTTAATTTTAAAAATTAATTAAATTTTGCTAAATTTTATTAATTATATAATTGAGAGCAAAATAATATCCCAAAAAATTTCAGTTTGTCAAAAAATCTATCGGCAAATTAAATTCAGAAATCTAACTCAGAACTCTTCGATTATATGTAGTGTGCAAACTAACTTCTTATATTTCAAATATATTTACTCTAATTCAGAATATACGTAGAATAATAAAACTAAACGATGTAGTACAAATAATTTATCAATTTTATTAATCTTAAATTTAAAAAGTTGGATAACATTTTCATATGTATAATTTAATATTTTGGAAGTACAATAATTTTGGATAATAGAATATTATTAAACAACAGAATATTAAGAGAGATCTATTTAATAATAAAATGTAATCAAATATATTGATTAATACACTGAAACAAATTTATACTATTAGTTGGGTGTTCAAGACTGCAAAAATAAAGAATAGAAATGTCCAATTCAATTATCTTGATGTTCCTCACGATGATCGTGCTGGGAGTCGTTCGGACACAAAAAGCAACGAAATGACTTTAATGCAAGAATCTGCGATAAACTTGTGTTTTCTAACAATAATCTGAGGAGCTTTCGGAGAGCAGCTTTTAGTTGTTGGATTACCGAAAAGGGAAAATAATTTTTCAAATATAATTAAATATCCAATCGATTCTTTTTAATTTCTGGAAATTTTTAATATTGTCGATGTCATTTAATATATTTTTCACTCTCACTTAAGAAAAAATTACACCATATATTTATCAATTAAATTAAAACATTTTTATAATTATAGAATTATTTTGAATAATTAATAAAAAACATAAGCTTGGAGAAACAATAAATAAAATAATAATAGGATTGTAGAAAAGAAAATATTGACTCTCAGTAACATTTAGCACTCCATTTTTCGAATTTTGATTTAATTATTATAATTATAGACTCTTTCCCTAAAAAGTTTTAGATTTGTAGATAAATTATAAAACCAATTCTAATAACAAAATAGAAATCTGAAAATATACACCTTCATACTTTTGTTAAATTATAGCAAAATAGCGTAAATAAAATTGTTGAATGCGCGAACGTATAAAACTTAGGTATGTGCAAAGGTACAGTTTAATTGCAGTTTAATTGCAATTTAAATTAATTTAATGAAATTTTTATCTGAAAGAACATTTATATTCAAGTGAATCAATTTTGCTTTGGCTGCCAATTGATCTGCAGCTTCAAATTTCAATAAATTAATTTAAATTAATTTAGTAAAATTTAAATAAATTCAAATTAATTAGTTTTAGTTAATTAAATTTTTAAGTTAAATTTATGTAACTTTATGGAATAAATAGATCGTAATATTTTGAAGTGAATTCATTTTGTTATAAATCAAAAGTAATCACAATATATTAGCGCGTAGATATATTATATTTATTCCGCACGTTTCATAATCCAAAACCCGTAATTAAAATGTAAATTCCATGCCATAACTTTATAGCTCTTTCCGAATTAACAACACGCAAGAAATGCGGAATATTCCACGTGACATCGCTTCCAAGCATCGAACAAGAAGCACGCAACGTGACAAGAAACGGGTGTTTTGCGCGTAACTTTGGAAAAGTCGTGTCGACGATGAATCGCGATAAGTAAGTGTAAAGTAATTTGGGGAGAAACGCTTGACAAAGAGGCTTATCAAGAAATATCATGATGAAGCAATTTATAGACGCGCATCAGTCTTACTCAATTTTCCATTTACATATAATGTAACTATATTTAAAAAAAATTGCTAATCTTTTTTTTATACGCAAACAAAGCGACACGGTGACATTAATTTAATATAATGCAACTCTACAATTTTATTAATACATTTTTTAGTAATACAATAAAATATACAGGGTGTATATTTTAAATAACGTCCACTAATTATATAGCGTTATTCCTTGTAAAAAACTGAAATGAGTAAAAAAATCCTAAATTTTTTTCTATGCTCAATGCTCAATCAAGTAATCATTAGTGCAGTAATTACTGCTTCACTGTAAAAAAAAAATGGTTCAGTACTTTTTGATTCAATTTTTCATAAGGAATAATGCTATATAATTAGTGGACGCTATTTAAAATTCAATATATAATCTTTTTTTATAAGAGTGTATGTATTATATAATATGTACATGCATATTAATTGATAAATTTTTTGTAACTTTCTTTAAACAATAATATCATTATAAATAAAACAAAGAAAGAGTATAATAGCCTCTCAAAGTGTTCGTGCGTGATATACTCGTAATTTGTACATATAAACAAAAGATATTAAAATACAATAATATGTTCTAACGTTTCGACCTCTAATCAGGTCATCTTCAGCGCAAATTGTTAACGAAATTCTAATTACATGCGTTAATATTGAACATTAATACGTAGTAAAATAAAATTGAAAATGAGTGCATGATCAGTAGAGATCTATACGGAATAATGATTGATCACAGTAAAATCAAAGTTGGTCCACGATGTCGAAAAGTATCTTGTAGCATAATAAATAGCAGTCGATATGAGTTTCCCATAAGTTTTCACGATATCACCGCACTAAGATGCAATTGTTTCAACAAAAAAACTGTGGGGTGACATAGAAGAACGAAATGGAAAAAATAAGTCAAAAGTTAAAAATGTAGTTGTTATACAAAAGTTGTCAAAATTGAAAACGTGTATGATCGTCACAAGAAAGCTGTCGACGGAATGACGCTGACTGATCAGTCGTTGTTCCGTACAGAATTCTACTAATCACTCGTTTTTAATTTTATTTTACCACATATTAACGTTTAATATTAATGTATGTAATTAGAATTTCGTTATTAATTTGCGCTGAGGACCTAATCAAAGGTTGAAACGCACATACCAATTATTGTATTTTCATATTCTTTTGTGTTTATATAAATTATATCATGCATGAACATATTGCAAGGCTATTACGTTCTTTTTTGTTTTAAAATAAATATATTCTTTTATTTATGTATACACACATATACACACACAAATTAACATCTTTTCAAGAAATTCACATAAAATACAAACAAAATATGGGCAACGTGCAAATTAAATAATAATATTAATAGTAATAGAAAGAGATAATTATATTATACTTCTTCTCTAAAGACGTTACACTGATGAATGCTTCAATTCGTAAGTAAGTGTCGCCTCTTCAACTGCGTCCTGACATATGACGTTTTGACCGTGTAATAGCTGCTCGACGTTCGCTTTGTCTGAGGACGCTACCCCCTGCTAACTGCTCGCATCTTTTATTATAAGGAGCCATATCGAATCGATATATAATAACGAGTTGAAACATGACACGCGGAAAAAACGTTGACGACCTAACGAAATGGCAGACGAATAATACAAGCGTGACACGAGCATTTGGTTAAAGCAGACCAAAGTCTTTAGCGGTAACCTTAACTCTTTATAAACTGCAAATCACTCTCGTAACGGATAAGTTTATCTTAAGTAGATCATGTTTAACAATGACTCTTATGACTGTCACGGCTCTCTAATTTTCTTACAAGCATAAAATATTACTTACAATTAGACTTGTTTTGAATAGCTATTATATTTCAACGTAAATGTAATTTTGTGAATTTTGTTAAGAAAATATATGAAAAATGTTTCATATATTTGCACGTTTATGGCGTGTTGTAAGTTGTAAAAGACAAAAACTATTATGAAATTACCTAGAATGTTTGCACAATTAAGTTCTGACAAACGCAAACAAAATAACGAATGGGCAATGACAAAAAAGCTCGTTAAGGAATCTTTTTCAAAGATAAAATGAAACTTTTATAATCTAGTTTCTGGATATTTATCGATCTTGACCTAATAAAATATACGCTTAATCCGTAGATATATATATAACTACAATGGCAGCTGCGCACTTCCTCAATTCATATATTCCGGGCAACGAGAGAATAATGTCTACAAAAAGGAGAGAAATGAAACGGGTAGGGATTACGGAAGGGATCGTCAAAAGAGCCGTGCAAGATTCGCGAAGGGATCTTCCGCAAAAATGGAAAGGTTAAGATTATCGCAGCAATTTAGATTTTTATGTTTTCTATAATAAAATGACTGCCTAAAACGTTGACGTAGAACGAAAGTAGGCCTGATAACTGAAGATAAACCGAAACGGGAAGGATTAAGATTACACGCAAAGAATGATTTTGTTAAAATACATATATCTAAAAATTTAGATGGATACAGATCTGAAAATAATTTTGTTAGGCTGATTATGTAGGAAACTCACAAGCACGATCGATAAGCAATGCTGCAAAAAGTCTTGACATTCTAGCAACTAGCTTGAGCGTCTTGCATAATTATTTTGACAGCCCAAAAATTATTTTTAGATCTGTATATCTAGCTAAATTTTTAGATACTTTAGCAAAACTGTTTCTTTCGTATAATTATGAGATACTTCCGAAAATTCGTTTGCCCTCGCTTGTTCAAGGAAGCTTTTGCGCCGACGATGATATTAACACGGACCTATTGGAGAAAGGAGTAAATTATGCACGTATAGACGTGTTGCGTAATACATTGTATACAACTTTGCCTTTTACACGTTCGGCTTATATGGGACGAGTATAATTTAACCGGCTAATTATTTATCCGCGCACAATGGTCACGAATCGCTCCAACGTCGACCTGCGGCAAAGGAAGACAAAGTGGTTCCCTTGCGCGATTTGTTCCGCGTATAGTGAATTACGGAGAGTGGCGAAAGTATTCGCCCATTCATCATTTAACGTTCAAATGAAGAATTTCCAGGCAAGATTAAAATTTCATGAACTCGAAGTTTTATCCCAAATTGTACGTTTCCTGTTCAAATGCGCGAAAATATTACATCGGTGTAAATGTATATCGTCTAGTTAAGTCACTGCGTGAAAGTAATGTGAAAAAAATTCTTCAAAGAATAAACACAAATCTATTTAATAATTTCCTTATCTGCAAACAAAATCCATATTAAATTAACTATATCAAGTAATATGTGTTGCATTTGAACATTAATACATAAGAAAAGAGAGGTTTATTGTCCTGTCATTGTCTTAACATTAGAATGATGAAGCAATTTTAAATTAACTAATAAGATTGTCTTGCTATTCTTTAAAGTAATATCCTTAATATAATCATTTATTCGGAGATTCTAAAGAGATTTAAAATGCAGCATTAACTAAAGAGGCGGCACATCTATAAAACGAAACTATGGAGAATTTGAGGATAACCTGAACCATATATTGAACAATATATTGTTAACTTCGTGACTACTTAAGATATTTATATGTATAATGACGATAATAATTTTTATATATACGACTAATTTTGTATAATACATTTAAACTGATCACTAAGAATGACGTAATTTAAAAGGTCGAAACATCTGATAAAGATAAACATAACACGTATTTATGTAATGTAATTTATGTATTTATGTAACGTGGTATAGAAATATTTAAATATATTGTGTAGCACTAACACCCAGCGTGGCACATTAGCCCTTTTTTATTTTATATATTTGACTAATATGTCCATTTAGGCAAGAAAATAATGCCATAAAACAAGATTATTTTATTTTGCATACAATATATTTAATAAAATTTAATAAAGAAAACTGGAAAATAAAATTACATTTATGATTTTCACAATCATGGTTTTCTACAGTTGATATCAGTGATGTGATTGGTGAGACATGAGACATCTATCAATAAAGTCTCATTGCACATACAACTATAGATTTGAGAGTTAGCTTCAAAGAAGTGAAATGAGAAGACATTCCATAGAGAGTTTCTGCAATATTAGGCAACTTCATAGAAACACACGTAGATATGTATACACACAGATCGTACGATTTATTACAATCCAAGATAAATACTCGAGATCATTTCAGCAAGTTCAGTGTGTAACAGTTACATTGATCAATATAAGGAACAAACAAGAGCACCTACGTTCTTGATGAACGACGGCAGAATCAGTCGACACAAGAGACGAATCGAAAAAGATAAGAGAGAGAAACAGGAAAAGATACCGATCCGTCGAGAAGAAAGTCGCAAAGAGGAGACTACTGTTTGCGTTTGTCAGAACTAGAGACAACCATTGGCAGGACGTATCTACGGCGGCTGATCTACGCGTATAGTGTCATACGCGGTGGGGGGGAAAGTGGAGTAGCATAGAATCAGATCCGTGTGGAACGCGCAAGGGCAGAGGAAGAAGGAACGATGCGACCGCGGACCGCGCGCGCGACGGCTCCACTCCTGTGAAGCGGAGAGACGCGCCGCCGGCAGCCGCAACCAGCCGCAGCCGCAGAGAGACGGCACTCGCGCGCCGAGTTGAACGCGCTCAGTTCGCGCGCTGAGCGTGTCGCGCCCGGTCGGTCGTCGTGTTGTACGAAAACTCGCCACCGTGTCCCGCGAGGAGAGAGAGAGAGAAAGAGAGGACTCACTCGGTTCCACTTAATCGCGAGCGTTACGAGGACGTACCCCGAGATATTTTCCATCTTCCGAGATTGGCTACCGAGAGATGACTCTCGCGAAAGTTTCGCGACCGAGACAACCGCGGTTCGTTATAGCGATTTTAGAGCATCCCTCGTCTCAAAAGTTTATTTTATCTTCGGAAGCTATTCCAATCCAAAGTTCTACGGGATTTTCTCAATGACGATCACTGCGAAGCGTGAGAACTATAATGACTATTTGTGAAAACTTCACCTTTTTCAGTTGCAAGAACTCACAATCAATGCATACGATGCGTTAATCTTACGCTTAATTAAATTAACACGATGGGATTAATTTTAAATTTGTTTGTTAATAACAAATTTATTTTAAAATCAATCGATTCTTCTACTCAACTTTGTATGTTAATGCTGCAATCTTTGCAACTAGAGAAAAATTAGTGGAGCACAAATCACGTATGAAAAAATAATTATTTTTAAAAAACTATAAATATTTTATTTAATATAAATTGGAAGATTTATCTCTTACTTATTACTTATCAAAACTTATCTATCAAAATAGATTCTGTTTGCATTAAATAACGATAATATTATAAAATAAATTGATAAAAAATTATTCGTTTATATGACAAGAATGATGATATCAAGAAGTTGATGTATGAATTATTCGTTTTGTATGACAAGAATGATGTATCAAAAAGCTTATCGCAATTTGGTTTATCGTTTCGACCGCAAAATTTCAACACCGGGACAAACATTTTTCAAGTTTCGGATCTCTGACCATGAAAGAGATGGAAGAAGGGAAGCGCAATCGCGAACGATGACGAGGACGGCGATGAAAATGATGAGAACAATAACGAAGACGAGGAGCCATGTGACACCATGAAGTCAGAGAAAGGGAAATTCGGATAATGGCAGCCTCCCGCGTAGATTCTGAAGTTGGAGAATACCAACTAACGTCTGCGACAGCTGCAATATTACCGAGATCATCGAGCGAAGCTCGCGTAATTGTCAAATCTTGGAGTGACTGCAATCATCGCGCCAAATACATCGAGAAGCCTCTCGGCCGATCAAAATTTCACGATTATCCATCGAAGCATTCAAATAATGGCAATGGCGTTCCTGGAAATCATCATACACAAGATAATGAAGAATGGAAGCAAGAAGAGGACTCAATTTCCGAAGATGATATTATCGACAGATTGGACAAGGATACAAATCGCGATGAGATGGATAACGATATTAGTAACGTCGTCAACGATCGTAAGTTATTTACGTACAAGGGAAATAATGGGAGGTTTAACGATTCGAAAGATAAGCTTAAAGTTACGTGCATGAACTCGCTAAATAACGACATCGAGAGAACTCAGCAAATATTTAATAAATGTAATCGAACGAGGGGAACTGTCTCCGATAATGAGCGTAACGGAAGACATATGTGCGCTATTCGTGAGATAAAAAACGCGACTGCGCCGGCGAACAATTACATAAACAATCCATCCGAATCGGCACACGGCCCCCAGGGTGCCGATAAAACGATCGGATCGAGCAAACGCGAGCGCGCCAGCAGGGATATCGAGTGCCGTAAAAATGACTGTAACGAAGACGGGATGGAAATCTGCAGTTCGCCGCGGAGTCGCGCCGCGTATCCTCACGGGAACAATGTCGTTGTATCCGCCGCCACGTCGAGCACAGGCGCATTTCGGGAGGAACCTCCTCGAGGTGAGGCGTCGTCCCTGTCTCGTAAGGTCGTTCACTCCGCCTCCGCCAAAGACAGTCGCGCCCCCGGAAAAACGCGACGATCCGCATCCGCGAGGTGCGCTATTGGCGATCGAGGGGAGCCAAGGGATCGGGAAACGGATATCGCCGTCCCCCGCGCCGGCGGGAAGAGTAGCGGTAGCGCGAGAAAATGCGAAAACTGCGGGGACTCGCACTTCCCTTACGGTCGATACTCTCGTTTGTGGAAGTATTCCGGCTATGCGAGTCGCGAGACGGCGGCGCATCGAGACGCGGCCAAGATCGCCGACAATCGGGCGACCGATTCGACGAGGCTGGCGGCGCCGATCGCACTCCGTCGCAGCCGGTCGTTGCCGCGACTGTCGATCCACGATAGCGGAGTCGCTTGCAGCGATCACGCACCGGCGGCGGCCGCGGAGCAGACGCACGCGGCGCCGCGCCAGTTGGCGATCGCGGACATCAGACAACTGCTCACGCTGAAGCAACACTACTACCCGGAAGGTGGATGGGGCTGGGTAGTCCTCCTCGTGGGTTTACTCGTGCAAATTTTGTCGCACGGCGCGCACGGCGCCGTCGGCGTCTTTCTTCAGCAGGTGGAGTTCAGATTCGGTCGCCACGTGCATCTACAGGCAGGTCAGTGAAACGAGCAGAATCGAGATTAATAGCCACTGATAAACTATCGATTATAAGCTGTCTCGAATTTTACAATTCATTCTACTTGTACCTTCGCGCGGAAATTATCAAACTTTGTCCTGTTTTTTTATTTGTTACTTTTAACTTTTTGTTAAAATAAATCTTGTAAATTCGTTTACAAATGCAGATTATGAGTTTTTTATTGCCGTTTTTAAATTCATGCATATAGAAATAGAAATAAAAATTATATTCAATAGACTATTTGTGTGCGTTAATGTTGTTAGGTTGACACATATGGTTTTCATCCAATTTCTTCGTGAAGTTATTTTTTAGAAATAAAAAATGATTAAATTTCATATCAATCCAATATCTAATTATTAATTTGTAGATGCAAAGAAGGTAAATTTAAATTTACAAGCAATAAAGTAAACACGTTTATTTTCATTAGGTAGTATAATATATTGATTGGCGGTTGTTGGAATTCGATCAACCGCATGTTTGCATACCAAACCAATCGAACGAAAAAGAATTAAGTTTTTCTTAATTTAAACGTAAGACTCTCAAAAACAAAGAAGAGCCAGAAATAACAATAAGAGCAAATAAAAATATAAGTCATTCACTAATGTAATTTTCGAAAGTAAGATATATATCGGTGGAAATCTCTTTTAAAGAATAAAATATTGTGACAATCATTTTAATTTAGACTTCGAAGAGAACGTAATTACCGAAATTAGTTGCCAAATGAGAACGTATCATCTGGTATTATAGCTGTCTGGAGCAAAATCGCGGTACATTTTTAACATTGCTGCTTTAACTTCGAGTACTTTGTGACATTTCCCTGTTGGAACCGCACGTGTGTACATTACCGCGTTGGCGATCGGCCAGAAGCGGAAAATCACAATTTGTTCTTGCAGCTGTGCTTAATAAGCGGCATTTTTATCATTCTTAACACGACTTATTTGAAAAATGTCACAGGAAAGTCATCACGTCACGTAAGATATAGGTATTGGGTTATCCGGAAAGTTCTGCGGTTTTCACAGGGACAGGTTCAAGTGATTATATACTTTTTTAATTTCTATCAGTTCTTGTATTGTATAACGAGTTTTCGACAATAGATTGCTCCGGTAGATCATCATCTACGGTGCAGGGACACTTAGATCGCGTATCGGTTTTGAGAGTGAAATCACCTTGTTAAAATTTCACAAATCACCTCCGAACTGTATCATCAGAAACAGTATTTTATTCGTACTTTACAAATTTTACGCGCTGTTTTGCATGTATTCTTGTCCTTTCTGAAGCAGAAAAGCATAATAATGCAAAACATGTTGTTTTTTATTCTCCATTCTTAGGACACTATAGAATCGAATATACAGAACATATGCTATTATGGATGGATGCATTGTTTAAACAAAAGACTGTTCTTTCTTATCAACCTGAAGTTTGGACTTCCTCATTCAGTATTAGCGCAAAATTCAAACTGGTATTTGCACAGAGAAAACCGCAGAACTTTCCGGATGATCCAATATATCGAGTCATGGATCACTAATTTTATGATATATTATATAAAATATATTATAAAAGCTATATAAAGCATTGTTAAGCAATGAACTATTATTAATATATTAAAAATTAATGTTAATAGAACTTATTATAACTGTTT